GCGCATGCAACCGCTGTCATGTTGAAGAGACACACGGGCATGGGATCCTCGGTTTTTCATGTAGAGATATATGCAGAGTGACGCAAGTCTCTCCTCATCGCTTCTTTCGTTCTTCCCACATCTCTGCATCAGCCAATGCAAAAGGCGTTCTCTGCCTCTTACATCCCTCTGCCCACATGCAAACCCCTACCGATGTCCCTCTTGCTGGCTGGGGCTGGTGAGGGGGTAGCCGTAGGCGCGTGGTTTTTGATGCGAATGGGTCGATAGAAGGAGCGTCGGACCGGGTCTTCAACAGACACAACTGAAAGCGTGTATCTCAGCCTCACACGACCCACCGCTGTTTTCTTTTTTTCGTTGTTGATTTGTTGTTGTTGTTGTTTTTTGTTTTTTGCTTGCTTGCTTGCTTGCTTTACCTGGCATTCTCCGTCCCCTTTCGCTTTCCTTCTTTCCTTCCATACCTCCATTCCACTTGGTTTCTATGTCTCTCCCCTATTGAGCCCACTTTATTATTTGCTCGTTGTTTTGTCTTCTTCCTTCCTTTACTTCTGCCGTGCGCTCTGTTGCGATCCCGTCCCGAGTACCGTTGAGTTGTTCCTGCCGCTAGCGCGCTGCTACCGCTGCATTGTCCCTTTACTGTGGTGGGTTCCACGGGTGGCCAAGCTCCTTCGTCACCTCGACCAGCCGCTTCACGTACAGCTGCATCGCCTCTTCCTTCGACATGTTCTCGATGGCCTTGCGCGCGTCCCACTTGGCGCGTGCCTCAAACTGCACCGCCCAAGGCTGCGAGCCCGTCACGGGGCCCTCCGTCGCCTGCTTGAAGAGTGCGTAGAACTCCAGCTTGGCGTCGTTCGACAGCTGCACCGGCCCGTCCTTGGGAAGCGAGCGCACGTACTCCACAGCGGCGTTGAACTGTACCTCAGTCATCGAAGCGACGTGTGTGTGTGTGGTCTTCCTTTGGTTCTTTATTTGTGTGTATCCTTGTGGCTATGAATATGCCTCTTTGTGGGGTATTATTATTATTATTATCATTGTTGTTGTTGTGCGGGAGCGCAGGTGGAAGGGAAGAGAGCAGTAGTGTTGGCCCTTGTGGCGACAGCGGAGAGGTGCGTGTCCGCCGCGACATGAGAGGCGCCACCCGGGGACGCACAAGAGAGGCACATACACAGACGTACACACAGGCACACACACACACACACA